TGAGGCATGAGCAACCATTACAAAGCAAGGCTAAGTACAAATAGGAGAAGATGAAAAGGAAATTCTCCTATAAAATGGAGAAATGAGAAAGTGGTTTCACTTTTTTATTTATAATTCAGTACACTGCAGTCTAGAGCATTATTTGCTATCACTAGATCTATATGGAAGCCTGTTGTGACGTTGTAAGATAAGCGCTGGACTGCTAACTACAAAACCGGTGGTTCAAACCCACTAGCCGCTCCTCGGAAACCCTATATATGGTTGCTTTGAATTGAAACCAACTCGAAGGCACTTAACAACAGATCCATTTAATACTATTTTCTGGCCTTTCTCCTTTGCTTGCAGAACCTAACCCCCAAGGTACAGTGGGAAGATTCCCACTTCCCCTCTCAGCACTCTGTTGCAGACCTACTCTGTGTAACACAGTAGTATAAACTCAGTTTTGGACATCCAGAAGAAAACTTCAGTTTTTCCTTGCCTTTTGTTGATTATGAAATAAACTAGTGCAGAGATGTTGTTTTACTGCCAGTTGTTGTTGTTAAGTGCCGTCGAGTTGATTCTGACCCATAGCAACCCTGTATAGGGTTTTCAAGGAACGACTGTTGAGCTTGAACCTCCGACCTTGTGTTACCAAATTATTTATTCAGTCATTTTCAATGCATATTTATGGGGTATCTTTTCTGGTTTCATTTTCTGTTATTCTATGCAGATGCTTAAGCTAACAGAGAAGGAGAAAGAAAGGAAACTAACATATATTGAGCATACTATTCACTTAGCTTTTACTTAAATAGTCTAATTTAATGGTCACAACCATATGGTGTAGGTTGAGTTGTGCCTAGTTTCTCAATGTAGAAACTGAAGAATAATTTTCCCAAAGTCATCCTGCTAGGAAGTGGCAGATCCAGAACTTAAACTCAAATCTGTCTGATGCCACAGACAGGTTTTTCTGTTAAGCACGAAAGAGCCACACCACACCTGCCTGCCCATACCTATTTCAGGGCTGCAGGGGTGCTTTTGTATTTGGACATAAGAAGCAACTTTAAGATCTTACATTGTTGTGAAGTGCCATTGAGTCAGTTCTGACCCATAGCAAGACCCTATATAGGCTTTCCGAGGAGCAGTTGGTGAGCTTAAACTGCCAACCTTGCAGTTCAAACAGCTTTGCAGTCGGTGCATTAACTCACAGTGCCACACCAGGACTCCCAAGATCTTACGTAATCTTTTGTATAAGCTCTTTTATCCTATTAAGCAAGTGAGTTTCTTGGTTTTCATGGTGTAATGGACATACTGATTTTACTTAGCTTCTATAAATCACTTTAAAGGAATCTAACATTATCATATCTAAACAAGTTCAAACACATTTGTATCATTGTTTTTGAAATTTTAAAGAAGAAACTTTTAAATTAATCATTTCATGTTTTCTCTGCATCGATAAGTGTATTGCTTTGTCTTCTCCATGTTGTTATCAAAGGAACGGGGACTTTATTATGAACTACCTAGAACCTAACAATGACTTATTTGTTGTCTTGCTAAATGTTGCATAAGTGACAATCTGTAAGATGTAAACTTTTATAAGGAAGGAATCTTTCTTTGCCCTTATATTTATATTTGCCATTCCTTCCTCTTACTCTTACATAGAATAGACACATTCATTCCTTAGTTTGTTGCCCTCTTTCTCTGCCTCTTATTCCATACAGTACAAGTGCATATGCCTTCAGACTGAGCAATGGGAGAAGTGTCTGGTATTCTGTGATGTGATGCTATACTTGATGTAATTTCTTAAGTAAGAGAGAGCCGTGGTTCAAAGTAGGGAAATCCTGCCATTCCTCTAATAAAAATAATGCAAATTGTCTTTAAAAAATTAATCAGAATTCTACAATGGAAATTCATGTTCCTGTTCATCAAGATTAAGTTTTAACCAAACCATATTGTGAGTTATTTTAGTAAACTATTATTTTAGCTCCCTTAAGACTAGAAGTTTGATTAAACTGGAAGAGTGGAGTTGAAGTGCAGGCTGAAGAAGAACCGGAAATCGTGGATACTATCTCTTGAAGTCACCGAATTGAGAAGGAAAGGCAGCCTTTGTGTCCAGAATCCTAGAGGTCTTCAGAAAAGCCTTTCCTCGGATGGATTAGTAATAGCGCTGACGTCAGTCTCTAGGCAGTCTAACTCTAGATTCCGTCTGCTCCTTCAAACGCCCCATTCCCAGCCCAGGTGAGGCCTGTCTCACCATCTTTCCTTCACTTACTGGGCTCCCAGTGCCTCTTTGATGTGAGGAGACAATTGAGTGGAAAATGCCTGCTTCCTATTGTGTGCCATCCAATGGTTTCAGACTCACAGCAATGCTACAGGTCTGGATGGAACGACCTCAGAGGGTTTGGAAGGTTGGAACCTTTTCAGGAGCAGATCACCAGGCCTTTTCTCCCATGGAGAAACTGCTGACCTTTTGGGTAGTAGGCAAGTGCTTAGCCATTGTGCCATCAGCGCTCCTTGACCTCATTTGTTAGGTTTTAGTGCATACCCATTGTGTAAATGTTTATTGTAAAATCATAAACTCTGGCAGGAGAAAATGGTCTAAGCCCTCACTGAAATACTTCCGAATATAAAGGTTCTTGCTAAACAATGCTGCTTGTTTATTATTGTCCGAACCTTAGAAAAATCACTCTAAAGTTGTTTTCCACATTTATTTGTAGGTAACAGATACATATGTTAGCAAAGCAGAATATAATTAAACTTGTATATTAAACTTTACCTTTGGAGTTGAAATTTTATCTAAATTTTTTATACTTACTTTCTAATGAAAATTTATTTAGGAGAAATATAAGAGGGCTTCAAAAGCCCATGAGAAAATTCCTTTTTAAAAAAAAAAATGTTTTATTGTGAATTATGTGATAATTTACATGGAAGAACATTAGCTTTACATTCATCCTATTGTATTTCGTTGCCATGGTTATAATCCCCTCCATGCATCGTCAACCAACCAAAGGGTATACCCTGCAAGCCTGCCACCACCCCCCAACCCCCGGTTGTCAACACACATCCCCTCTCCCTCTCTGGGTCTAGAGCCCCCAGCTGCTCCATCTCTCCACGTCATCATTTTTGCCTCCATCTCTGGAGTCACTGTTTCTCTGGGTAGGGTCCCACACTCCGCTCTTCTCCCTTGATTTGTCCCAGGGAACTCCGCTCCTGGACTACAAAGTCAACCACTCCCCTCCTTTTGCTACAAAATGTCTATCTTTACATTTCCAACCCTTACAGTCAGTCCTGATAGCAATTATTCACTATTGTATCACAAGAGACCTATTTCCATCTCCTTTCATCAGCCCCACTGAGACAGATTGGATACTACTCAGTGGAGATTCTACATTCCTCCACGCCTTCTGGATCTAAGCTCCCTTGTGTAAACTTGTAAGCCAGTCACTTCTTGCCTTTGTAGCCCCCCCATTTTGGGTAGCCAGTGTCCAAGTTGCCCATCACTATCTAACCTGTGTATCGAGGTGGTGGGAATTTTCCTTGTTGTAAAGATTTGTTCCTTCTTTTAAGCTATTGCATCCATAGGTGTAAGTCAAGTTCATCAAATTGTATCACATTATTCTTTCATTATCTTTTAATTCCATTTTTTTTTTTTCACAAACTTTTGGGAGACCCCCTCTCCCTATCCCCACCATATTTCTTTAACCCTAGATGAACATCAAGAATGGGAAATGGAGTTATATGGATGATTCACTTGAGTATGAATCAAATTTGATTGTTTTTAAAGAACTAAAGGTCCATAAATCATATTTTAGAGAACTGCCAGCATGGATAATTTGTTGAGTTCTAGATTAAATAATTATTAAAGTCAGATTTGAACTACAAAAACAAAAGTAACTCAGAGCATTTTTTTTTTGTTCCCTTATTAAAGGATACATTAAAAAATGAAATCTTATGAAAATTTCCAAACTTTATCCTTTAGAATGTAACCTCCTATACCAGAGTCATAACAGCTTGCAATCCAATTTACATGCTTTAGAAGTGATTACTTTAGTATGTTAGTTCACCTCTGTTCTGTGTATCTTTAACATTGACACATGCACTACTTAAGAATAAAATTGAGTGTTTGGTTTTTGATTAGGCTCACCTGGGTTCATGCCGCAAGCCATCCTCAGTGCCTGTGGTGTCAACTTTCACAGAATTTAGTACACTTTCTTGCTTGTATCTTTTTGCAAGGACATTGTTGCTGTAGACAAACCAACTTGGAGCTAAAATACTGAAATGATCTTAAAAGTTACCCATTTTTCTCTACTTTCTAAGCATGTCACCAAAGCATAACCTAAAACTGAGACCAGACTATTTAAAGCCTAATAAGTTTGTAACTTCTGTGCTCTATATACTGCACACGCTACTCACTCACACCAGCAAGCCGGTACAGAGGATGACTATGCAGAAACGAGGAACAAGTCCTTGGCCCATGGCCAGAAACAGTAAAAGTGTGTTTCTGTGCCATCCTGCCCTATGGGACTCACATTCTGGAATCAGTTCCACTTTAAATACTGGCTGGCATCCCACTCAGGTGAGCCCTAAATGCAGCTTTGCCATTAAGAGCCATGAATCCGAGGTCTAAAGTATGTGGAATATCTCTATCAGCCAACTTGAAGAAAAATAGGGCAGTTGTGGGAATTTCCTGTATTCTGGAGTTGGCCTGTTGAATAGTATGTTTTCTAATAGGACCTGAGGTTTAGTTCTATAAGCCTGGTGGTGAAGTGGATTCAAAAGATAAATAAGAACAATTGTTTTCCTTCTAGGGTTGACATAATGCTGTCCTGTTATCCCTTGCTGTTGCCAGTTCATTTTTATGTGTTGAAAAGTATAATTTTATAGTTTTTAGATGATTCACAGAGATTAGCCACAGCTTATTTTAACAAAGAGCACACACACAAACCAATAGTTTTTAATTTTTTTCAGAAAGAATTCACTTGCTTACTTTTTTTTAAACCATCTTTCCCGTTTCATTGAGGCAGATTTGGAAGTCAGACCAGAAACTTCAGGCTCTACTACGATGGAAAGCACTTTGTTGGGGAGAAACGCTTTGAGTCCATCCACGATCTGGTGACTGATGGATTGATTACTCTCTATATTGAAACCAAGGCAGCAGAATACATTGCCAAGATGACGATAAACCCAATTTATGAGCACATAGGATACACAACTTTAAACAGAGAGCCAGCATACAAACAACACATGCCAGTCCTGAAAGAGACACACGATGAGAAAGATTCTACAGGCCAGGATGGGGTATCAGAGAAAAGGGTAAGCTACCATGAAACCACACTTTGTCTTTGTCTGTTTGGGGTCTTTTTCAGAAAGTCATTGTTGCCTTGGAGAGTCCAGCTCCTAGTGCATTCAACATTTCTTCTCCTCATGTCCAGTTCCTTGTTCGTGTCTCCTTCTGCTTCAGTTAAAATATTGCTAACGTTTTTTGGGTTTTTTGTTTTGTATTGCAGATTATTTTCTATTTTGTCAGTTTCACAGTTTTAAAACTATGTAGTTGGAAAAATGGCCCCTAGTAAAGAAGTTCAGGGGCTTTAGTCAGAAGTATGGTCAAGAAAAGAGCTACTCTTCTTTCATTATAAAAGACAGTTTCATTTTTCAGTTGTCGTATTTTAATTGTGGCATGTTTCAAGCGAACATCAGAATTTTTGTTTCTTTTTTTAACTTTATTTATTTGACTTTAAAAAGATCCCTGACCTCCTCCACCCTTACCCAAAGAAAAGATGGAGAGAAATTCCTGATGTTTAATATTGTGTGATATTTATTTCATTGGGGAAATTTATGTTTTCTGTCTGTACTGTGTTAATGCATTCTTGTATTTTCAAGAGTATTTGGTTATTAGGTTAAAAAAATGCAGAATTATACTTTTTTAAAGTTTGGATTCAGTCACCAAATACAGTTATATCTAAGTTCTGACAATTTGTCTGCTGTGCAACTTGGGCAACTTAGTTTCTGTGTGCCTTACTTGTAAACTGGTAATAACTGAGTTATTGCGAAGATTAAATTACATTGTGTGTGTTAAACACTAAATCAGTCTTGGGACATAGTAATCACTCAGTGTGAGTTTGGTGATTATGCTGTTTTACCAGCCATATTACCTCAGAGCATCATCCTGAAATACTTCTGGTCATCTTGGAGTATTTAAGTACAGAAGGGAAAGTCAGACTGCTCATTGTCCAACCCAGATTTTAGTTTCTGGCACATCTTACTTAAAGCAGCATTTCGTGGCTGTGGAAAAATCATCATTTTAAATTACTGACTGTAGAAAATGGTTTTTCTTACGCTTACATTTGTAGGGAACTACAAATCCTTTTTGGAAGTAGCCAGAATTTAAAACCCTAAATACATGCAGTATTTAGCATTGCTCTTTTCACTGTGTAAATCCCATTTTCTCACTGTTGTTGATTTTCCTTCATGGCATTGTTCAGTAATACTTGTATTTAAATATCTAAAACTGACATTTCATTTTATGCTTGCATATTCTGCGTCAGCATTTGTGAAATATTTAAAATTGAGTCTTTCAGAGTTGATCAACCTACTAATAGCCTTTGCTTACATGTTCTGTATATACGTCTCGTTATCAGGGACTTGAGTTAAAGACACTTAGCTAGGCCTGGGGCTAGTCATCCCTAAACTTTATGGTGTCTTTGTTCATAGGAGACACAGAGATTGTCTTGAGGACTCTCAGCTCTAGGATACATCGCTTCCTGTATGTTCTGGCAACATTACCTATTGCATTACCTAGATTCTCCTATGCTGATGCCCAGTGATAGCTGTGTAGATACTTCATTGGAAAGTCTCTTTGTCCAGTAGTACATAGTTAAGAATCATTTTGAGAATTACTCTTTGCTTTAAACTGCATGCAACTTAAATCAAGTTGACTTAAAATCTACTCACTCAAAAATAGATTTATTCTATTTACAGGTGTCATCCAACAGGACAGGGATGATGACCTGTTCAACAGCTTGAAACATTGATTCCCTGTCACAGTGGATGACATTTGTAAGTAAAGATAATTTTATTTAATTGATTTAAAATACTTACTGACACAAGTATAGTTGAGTAACTATTTGACTGCATCCTGGATAGCTAGAAAACTCTTGTCTCCATAACCCCTTCACCTCAAAGCAAACTGTGTTGGCTTTGCAGGAGTTAATATGCTGTGGAGGGATGGATGCATACTAGTGTTAGAATTAAAACCTTCATTCTAGTTCCAGTGTAAGAATTGATTTTATTACTACTTTGGGCAAATGGCTTCATTCTTAAGAGGCTGCATATTCCCATTTCTGACTGGAGATCTCTGAACTAGATGATCTCCAAAATGTGATTCTTGGAATCTGTGGTTCTTCAAAGGCTATAGAAGTATTATTATAGGAGAGACAGACAATACTAGAAAGAACATTGAAATGCTGTCCTGAAAGGTGAGGTCTGGTTTTTAGCTTTCCACCAAGTAATTGTATGATTTTAGGAAAATCACAAAGCCTGTCTGGACTTTTGGAGTCCTGGTACGGCGCTGTGGGTTAATGTACTGGACTGCAAAGTTGGACCGCAAGGTTGGCAGTTCAAGCCTCACCAGCCATTCCTTGGAAACCCCGTACAGGGTCTCTATGGCTTGGCACCTCGACGGCACTTAACAACAACAGCTACATCTGGAGTTCAGTTTTTTCATATTACATATAGGAGGTGTTTGTAAAATGTGTGCTTCATAGGATTTTAATAAATGGTTGCCACAAAAAGGGTTCTGTGCTCAAATATATATAATAAATTTAAGTCTTTTGTTTCATCTTATTTTGTTTTCAAGCCCATTTCCTTTTTGTCGGCCTTCTCTTTTGTAGACCTAATATATACTTGTCTCCCACCACTTTTGAGAGCAGTTTAGGAAAATAATGTTTCATAAAACCTGCTTTGGAAAACTGTGAATCAGATGATCTGTGAAAGTCTTCCCTTGTTCTAAAATTGTAGGAGGAAAATTCCAGGTTTATTTTTTGAAATCCTTAAGGTGAAGCTGTGCAGCTGAGCTTTTGGTGACACGTTGGCAGATTGATCTTACGGCCGTGACTTTTTGTTGCCATAGATAGTGAATCCTGAGGATTCTTAGTTATTCCTAGGAAAACTGGAGGCCTATTGGGAGGGAATTGTTATTATCGTCTAAGGATTTTTTTTTTTTTTTCTGTCTAAAAGGACTTAACTTTGGTATCTAGACTAGGTAAAGTCCAACTTTGTATCTACTTGGTAATATAATAATTTTATTTATTTTGTTTTTGTTTCAACTTTTATTTTTTAATCTTAGACCTGTAGATAGTGGCTTCAAAAAATTTGTGGAAAAAGTCCATTGAATTTTGATGTCATTTTCCATGATTTTTTTGAAGTCCCTTCATATTTGATCAGATTCTTGTCCTAACTATTACTGTTGTTTAGGTGCCATTGAGTCAATTCTGACTCATAACAACCCTGTGCACAACAGAATGAAACACTGCCTGGTCCTGCACCATTCTCTCAATTATTGTCACATTTGAGCTCATTGCTGCTCCATCTCCTTGGGGTCTTCCTCTTTTTCGCTGACCCTCCATTTTACCAAGCATGATGTCCTTCTTCTGGCAGTGGTCCCTCCTAATAAAATGTACAAAGTTGGAGAGCCAAAGTCTTGCCATCCAAGCTTCTAAGAAGTATTCTGGTTATACTGCTTCCAAGATAGCTTTGTTTGTTCTTTTGGCAGGCAGTCCATGCGACTTTCATATTCTTCTCTAACACTGTAACTGAAATGCATTAGTTCTTCTATGGTCTCTCTTATTCATTATCTGACTTTCACATGCATATGAAGTTATTGAGAATACCATGACTTGGATCAAGGGCACCTTAAGCCCCAAACTGACATCTCTGCTCTTGAACAACTTAAAAGAGGTCATGTTAAAAAAAAAAAAAAAAAAAGAGGTCATGTGCAGCAGATTTGCCTAATGCAATACGTCGTTTCGTTTTTTTGCTGCTCTTTCCTTGAGTGTTGATTGTGGATCCAAGCAAAATGATGTCTTAGACAATTTCAGTCTTTTCTCCATTTGTGAGGAGGTAAGTTATTGTCCAGTTGTGAGGATTTTTGTTTTCTTTACATTGAGGTGTAATCCATACTGAAGGCTGTGGTCTCTGAACTTCATTAGTAAATATTTTAAGTCCCCTTCGCTTCCAGAAAACAAGGTTGTATCATCTGCCTATTGCAGGTTGTTAATGAGTCTTTCTCCATTCTTGCCTCTCTCCCTCCATTCTAGTGAATATAATAGGCTTACATTAAGAGATACCTGACCAGTGGCTAAATACAATAGTTTTATGATAATTTTTCTTACTAATAATATTTTAAATTCCAAAAAAAAAACAACATACTTTAGATAGTGCCACATGTACTGCAAATAATATAAACCATCAAACATATTGCATTTCAAAAACCATACTATGAGCTAGATCTCTGGATGTAGCCAAGAACCTCTTTGCTTCTGAAGAGGTTGGGCATATTGGTGGTGGTAAGACCATAGACAGGACCTCTTGTCTTCTGAATGTAGTGTCTCACCTCCAAAGCCGTTATATGTGATGACAAGGATGTACAGACTGCAGGTGTTAGTTTTATGGAACTTTGGCAGACTAAATGACCTTTGTGTGTCTGTATGTGTATACTTCATTCTTCCCATGGAAGATTGGAATGAATGCAATGTGTGATGTATTGACATATGTGCATCAATTTGTCATTAAGGCATTTCTTTTATATTTAAATTTCCATTTTGTAAGTCTTCTTTGGCAGTCACTAAACTGTGTATATATTGAGACGGTCTTGTGAAATTTGAAGTCGTAATGCAATTGGGGGCCTACCAAAAACTGCATAACTACTGGAATTCATTGGGTAACTCCTATGCTAATTAAGGTTTTGGGTCAACTTGACAGAGCCAGTATTCTCAGTGTTTTGGCAGTTAAGACATAATAATGTCCAATGATGAGATCTCCTATGAGCGGAAGGAAGTTTCCTCAGACATGTGATCTGCATCCAGTATATTGGACACTCGGACAAAGCTTGCTTTGCGTTTTATTGGATCTGGATTCTGCATTTGGCTTGTCATCCCACCTCCAGTTTTTTTAATTCGATTTAATGGCCTGCTGTATTGTCTGACTGTCCTGAGAGTTCTCAGTAGCCTGACATCTGACCTGCCGACCTTGGATCCATTTGTCTTTGCAACCGGGAGCCTGCTGATCTTGGGCTCATCAGCTCCTGCATCTGAGTC